CTCTCTCTCTCTCTCTCTCTCTCTCTCTCTCTCTCTCTCTCTCTCTCATGTGTGTGTGTAAATAATTGAAATAATTGAGAAATACTTAGATAGAAATTAATCTTATGTAAGGAGACTGGCATGCTTCTGCCCTAATGCAGAATTTGTTAAGTTTCTAAGCTAAGTCTACTTTTGCACTCTGGATATTTTACTCCACCAAATAATACTTTATTTCATTAATACATTATATAGACACCTGATTTTAAACTGACTTCAGTTTAAATTTCAAATTGTTCTTTAATAGAGCGATATTTTAACCATTTTTATTATTATGGACTCAACAGTATACATAGAATGCTGAGAAGAAATCTTGAATGAAATCCCAGGTCCAAAACTTTAAAAATAGACTCAGAGAGGAAAAGTGGGTTTGAACATTTTAAGGGATGATAGAACCATATTTCTTAATCAGCAAATGTACCACATTCAGGGAGGGATTTGTCCTTTCATTTCCTCCATTTTCCCCACCAATTTCATAATCAAATATTTTTACATGACAGCTTAGGCTCAGAGATGGCTCAACAATGAAATGGGCATGTGATTCTTTGTGACAGAAATACTCCAGAACAAGAGCAGCAAGCTACCAAGACTGAAGTGAACCAGAAAGAAATGCCTCACAGTAAATACCATGAATATATAGCAAACAAGCAGGATGTTACATACACAGAGATGAAGACGTATAAGTCTCCACAGAAGCACAGAACACCTACAGCCAAGCAGAGCCCTGTAGTGCTGAGTGACGAGCAGGTAAAATATGCAGAGCTGACATTCCACAGAACACCTCAGTTCCAGCCCAGGAAACTACCTGTCAGAAGAAAAAGACAAGGTACAGTGTTGTGTCCTTTCTGCAACTGACCAGTCTCGACACTAGGGTTTAGATTATGGCTCTCAATACCTGTCACAACTATTTTAGTTTTCAGTATGACACAAAACAGAATCCCCTGGGAAGAATCTCACTAACGGCCTATCTAAATCAGTTTGGCCTGTAAGCATGTCTCTAATGGGTATCTCCATGCTCTGGACTGTGTAAGAACAGTAGAAGCTGGTGACCACCAAGCATGAGAGTGTTCATTTCTCTCTGTTCTTGACTGCATGTGACCAGCTGCTCCTAGCTCCCACGGCTGCTGCTGCTCTGATGGACTGCTAATGGGAGTTGTAAGTTGAACAGGCCCCTTTGAGGCCAAAGATATCTTTTCAGAGTATTTTATCACAGCAACAGAAACAGAATGAAAGGAAGGGAAACATAACTCCTCTAAATTGGTCACAATATGTTAATTATATGTCTTTTTAAGACACCCTTCCCCCATAGCTAGTCTAAAACACTGTAGTATAATAAATATCTTTTAATACATTTCTCTCAAGTATTACAGAAGCAGTATCTAACAGAATTTTATTGTGTTTGAGAATTATATATACATTTGAATGCTGTTATTAAAGTTTTCATTTTATTTCCATTTTCTACTTTGTTCCCATTTCTAGGAAACACCGTTTTATAATATAGCCCAGATGGGCCTTAATTGCAAATCTTTCTTTAACCTCTTGCTTTAGCCTTCCAAAATGGTTGAATTACAGGTGTGAACCACGATGGCTGGTCTCATTCCTTGCTATCTTGAAAATCACTATTGATGACAACTTTATTCAGTTCAATCTATTTCAGTCACAGTATAACTACTCTGAACATGCAGTGGGCCAAAGAGAAGAAGGAGAAATATCCAATGTGTTTAAAGAAATATCATACTTTAGTGTCACAGGAATGACAGATTATAGAAAAATAATTTTCATAGTAATTTGGTGGTAACAGTTTTGTCGTATTTAACCAGATAACAGACTGAAATTAAGAAGTTAAATGTAATTCTAAAAATTACTTTCTTTATTTCTTTTTTTTCTTTTTTATAGACATGTGAGGGTGGAAAGAAAGAGAGAGGGGAGAGAAAGAGAGATGGGGAGGGGAGAATATATGCATACAGCTCAAGTCTGTTCTATTACACCTCATTTTGAAGTAGGTTCTTAGTTTCTGCAGCCTTCCCACAGCTAGCAGGCCTGTGAGCTTCCGGTTGCCAAGCTTGTGTCCACTTGCTGGGTTAACAGGTACAGATGCATATGAACACCACTGGGATTACAGGTATTGATGCAGGTATCGATGCGTATGCATACCACAGGCTTTATCCTTGGGTGTCGAAGATGGAACTCAGGTTACCAGGCTTGCACAGAAGGTGATCCCCTGGGTCCATTACAAAATATTTCAATGTTCTCCCAAGGGATTAGTTATTATTAACTACTCCCACCTTTAGGAAGACATTCATCACACGTGATTTACCCTGTGAAAGCCAGATGACACATAATATTTGAATGTCTCTTAGCAGTAGACAAGGAGAAGTTGTTCTCAAAGAAACTGGAGTTAAGAAACTGATGATTCCAAAAATGAGAGGATAAAGAACACCAACCCAAATAATCATGGCCAAATTAATTAAAGCATTTTTGTCAAATTACAGTCTGTGTCAACCTAAGGTGGAATTAGAGATGTCAGCATTGGATGTGAATAAAACAAGGTCTTTATAGTTCAGAGTTGGGGGTGGGATTCAAGTGGAGGATTTGGCATTCAAAGTAGGCAGGGTTACAAGAACAGAACCTAAGTTTACAAGTTAGTCCAAGTGTACTCCTGAAAGTAAAACTTGAATGCAAGTTGGACATAACATGCTAATCATAACAACAGATACTCAAAACAAAGTCATCATATTTGCTCATATTATCTTTTGATAAAAAATAAATCTTGGACTGCAAGATGTTTATAAACAAATCTTTAAAACAGGTATAAGATTGCCATTCCTGGAAAAGGCAGTACAGATCCATTTGTAGTTAAAGTTATAAGAGAGGCATATTGCAATTCTTTAGAAACAGAGATTTAATCATGAACAGGAATAAAACTAGTTTGTCTTTACTATAAAATGGCTTTTAAGACTAAGATGGAGGCACGCTGGTTCTCCACACCCCCGCCCCTTGCATTATGTATCCCTGTGATAAGGCCTTAGCAATCTTTATCTGGGGAAAAGTAAATTTTACACTACAAACATTTATTGCTCATTTATCAATTATGCCTATTTGACTAGGATACATAGAACAAATATTTTTTAAGTCAGTATAATCTTGGAATGCCAATAGGTATTCCCAATAGTGTTTCCATGGACCTAATATTCCAGTCCTTTCTTGAGGCCAAGGGGCAACATATTTTCCTCTGAAAGTACTTCCTGCTCAAATTAGGATTCCTTTGTGAGGACCCAAAAAGACTTGACTATTACTCAAAGCCCAGGAGGAGATTAAAGTAATGGGGTGTTTATAAGAAGCAGTTTGTTGCTAACCCAGCTGAAGAGACAGGGAGCAGTGATATCAACTGGACCAGTTTACATCAGCTTTAACCATGTCCAGGGATTTCTGGTTTTGTAGGAAGACTGGGACTGGCTCAGTGTAGATCACCTTTGGAATACTTTGCAGTCTGTAGCTGATTTCTGGATAGTGTCTACCAGCTGAGTAGAATTCTGCCAAGACCGATATAGACTAGAGTCAGAAGTGCAGGAGTCCAGCCTGGGCAGGATTCAGAACCTGAAGAAGGATGTGTAGAAGAGGCAAAGAAAGATTTTGACCAAAGTCGTACACACTGGCACTGCCAGGACCTTGTGCTGACTCAACCACATCACCATTATCAACAGAGGAGTAGTGATCTATTCTGTCTCATGATCCTAAGAGACAAACAATAATGGATCGTAGTCTGAGCTTTCCTTTTCTGAATCTGGGGAAGTATCTATCATGGACAAAGTGAAGGTAAACCTTTCAATAGCAAAGCCAAGAATGCAAATTCAAGTCAAATGTGAACCAAGCAGTCTCTCAAGAAAGGCCAGGGGATTCTGCATGAATATCCCCACAGGTCCTTGCCATGTGGGGATCCAACTCCTCAGGCCTTGACATAAGGAAAACAGACTACATTACACTTATGCAAATTTCCCGGAAGAAATTTGGTAACCACCATAGAAGTTAAAGAACTTGAATGAAACTTTTATATTTGGAACTTCCCCTTTCAAAATAAGCAGTAGGCAGGGAAGCTTAGTCTTTTGATCGAAAGGAGTACTAATATGTAGTCCATTTGATCTCTGAGAGATTGATCTAAGTCTTATGGTATCTTAGACTCTCTGAAGCTTACATTACCATTGTATTTAAATCTATATTGCAGGAAAAAAAAGCCTCCCTCTAGGTGTCTGAAAAACAGCTGGGGTATATTCACGTCTTTGAGTCATAGCAAAAGCTATAGAATTAGGTTCAAAAGTATGAAAAACAATTGTCTTTGTCCAGAGGGCTGGACATATAGATGGTTCAGAGATATTTTTAGCATGTTCGGAAGCATCTTTAAGTTTATATTTAAATGACAAGCAGAGGACATTTAAAATCTTCGACTTGTGATTAATAATAATAGTTGGTGAATTACCAGCTTATCTGCACTTCATTGATCAGTGTTAAAACGTTGAGTTTTGAAATCTTAGAATAGCAATAGCATAGACTAATTTGGTTTTTAGACCTTAAGTCATTTTCTTAGATCCTCACAAATTACTTCGACTTTTTAATATGTTCAGATGTTTATCATTTAAATTAATTATAGACCTTTGTAAATTATAAAAATTTGAACTCTTTTATCCAATTTCTTATCATTAGATATATGTAAGGGGTTGATTACTAAGAACACTCTTTACAAAGCAAGTTCCTTGTCCTTTAATGAAGCCTGTTAGTAAGGTCAACTTGTCTGTGAGTTTACTTTTTTCATCAGGTAACCTAATATCTCTAGAAAATAAGGCCTGGGTTTTATATGTGAAACACATGGAATCGGCAACTGATGCTAAACTCATAAAGATACTGACCTTATTTTCATGGAGCAGAGTAGAAGAGTCAACTCAACAGTGACACTGTCCATGCAGGACCCTGACAGCAGGCAAGGCATGAGCAGTTTAGCCCAGTAGTCAGTATTATCACAATCTTGGAGAAGTCATTAAGTCCCATCAGTCTGCTTTGAAAGTCTTAGGGTTGACTCTAGGAGTGGTGATCTCTGTATGTCATAGTAAGCTTGTTACATTAAACATTTTAGTTGGCATATTTTGCAGATCTCAGAAATGTTTTGAGTGCTGTCTATTAAGTATACTTGATGTCAAATAAAATTCCCTGGCTTTTTGTTACTTGTTGTAGGTTCGTGAAACATACAGGAGGATAAGTAGGCTAGTGCTTGTAAAGAAATTACATTTGTAAGGAGTATGATAATTTATAAGATGACTATTCATCTGTATGCCTTCATTGTCTTTAACAGTTTACAATTTAGTAGCTTTTACAAGATTCATATTCTATAGTTTTATTCTCACTAAGTTTTGCTTTAAAAATTATAGTTCAAGAATTGAAGCTTTTTTGGTATCAAAATAAAACTTTAAATCATAAACACAGTCCATATGAAAACCAACAACTTCCTTCCAAGTGAGGGTGATTCGGTCCTTCTTAGAAGGAGCAACAAAATACTCAAGGGAGCAAATATGGAGACAAAGTGAGGGACAGAAACTGAAGGAGGGGCCGTCTCAAGACCACCCCACCTGAGTATCTATCCCATGTGCAATCACCAAAGGTAGATGCTGATGTGGAAGACAGGAAGTGCATGCTGATAAGAGCCTGATATGGATATCTCCTCAGAGGCCTTCAAGAGTCAGACATATTCAGAGGCAGATGCTCACAACTAGCCATCGAACTGATCATGGGGTTCTCAATGGAGGAGTTAGAGTGAAGACTGAAGGAGCTGAAAGGGTT